CTGGCGGGTCAGGAGAGGTCTGCTGTGCCATGTGGGTCACCTCCTGGGTGGGGATTGAACTCATGCTGAAGCAACTGCTACTCACTTGCAGTGCTGTGCTTTAACCTGCTGTGCCACCAGGGCAGACCTTAAAGTTAATTTTTTTAAACTAAATGTGTCTGACCTAGGAGAGGGATTGCTTCAAGAAAACTTTAGTTCTATTACTTGGAGATGGGGTATATATGAATAGAGTAGTTTTAGGTGACTATAAAGATAGGGATCCAACAAAATCCACCAAAAAATAAAACCCTATCATCTTTGTGTTTTTCTGGCATGGTCTTCCCCAGGCTTGTCATGGGTATGGGCCAATGATGTAATAATGATGACTATACAAGCAGTACCAAAGGCAGCTATTGGCATTTGTACTGAGGCACTGGACGTGGTTAGTTTGACTAATATTCCAAGAGGCCACATGGAGTTTGTGACTTGGGACAAAAAACTTTAATGCATTAGGGATGAAAAAAACTGGTCCTCACTGACTATTGTGATCTCCCAGAGAGTATATGGCAGCTCAGCAGTAAGTAATTGCCTTGTGTCTTATGTAATGTGAACACACTATTCAGATCACTTCTTGGGCAGAGTGCTCCATCTCTTGTCTTCAAAAGTTTAACATGGAATAGGTGATAACTAGATACTGTTATTTTACCTAAGGGCAACCTTTTCATTGTCCCAGGAATGTTTTGATGACCCTCATCTCCCCTGGAACATTCTTTTAGAGCAGGAAATTAACAAACTATAGATCCAGGAGTCAAATAAACACTTTACTTACAGATACAATTTTTTGGAAACATGACATTCTCACTCATTTACATATTCATTATGACTTTGAGCTATAACAGCAAAAATTGAGTCGCTCTAGCAATTATAGTTAGAATGCTGCAAAAATATTTAGTATCTTCTCCTTTATAGGAAGTTTGCCAACAAGTGTTACAGAGTCTAGATGTTTGGAAGGCTGAACATGGATCATACATATCCTAATACTTAATCTTACTACTATATGGATTCAAGGGAAGATTTGCTAAGGAAATATTACTGCTTATTTTAGGATGAAACTTGCTCAAGAGAAAAGTTTAACTTCAAAAATATTCTTATAATCATTAATTGTATGCACTGCTGTGCTTAAAACTTAACTAACCAAACTGTTTCCAGTAATACATGTACCTGATTTACCAGCCTCTTTGAGTTTCTCTCATCTTATTACATGAGAAAAATAATGTTATGATTTGTCCCATAAAGGGAAGCATATCATTCTGGAATACCAAGTATTTATGTCACATATCATCATTTCTTTAAATGTAAGTGACTTATTATTTTATGTATTATGATTTTAAAATATGACCTCTCTGTTGGAAATTTGAAGTGTTTTCACTCATTTAGGTCTTGTCTTTTCTTCTGCCTCTCAGCTTGAAGTCCATGGCCAAAAATGACTCTACCACTAGAGACTCTTTTCCGTAAAGAAGACAACCAGACTGGAGGCTGGGATGAGCATGCCACTGCATCAGATCTCTGCCATTCCACCCCAGGATGCCACCTCTGCTAGAGTCTACAGAAATAAGACCAAAGAAAAAGAGAGGGAAGAGCAGGTGATGGGAGAATACCCTTTTTACTTTCATTAAATATGGTATATAACAAGCTCTGAAAGTCAAGATCTTCTCTGGTAATTACTAAAGTGCACATGATGTGAATAGTTGAGTTCGGAAGAAACTGTCGTTTTTGTTGATTTCTAGATTTTGGTACAAATTGATGCTGCCATGGATTGATTATACAATTATATTTTCATGGGTTATCTCTATTTCTGTTTCTAATGTAACACTGAAAAAAAAGTTGTTTGAACTTTCAAAACATACTGTACAAAAACTTACTTAACCAAAGCATGTATGGTTGCCATATACATACTAGTCTTTGTTTGCTTTAAACAAGTCATAGTTAATGTCCTCGAATGGCTCTTGATCTGGCCTGACAGTTAAATGTGCTTTGGAGTCTAATATTGCCAGTGATGAGGAAGTTCAGGATTACCTAATCCTAGCCAAAGGGGTTAACAGTGCCTTCCTAGAGAAAATGATGACTTTAACAACTAAGTTCTCAGACAGGAGAAATATCACTGCTGATAGTATAAAGATCAGAGCAAGTTGAGTTTGAGTTTGAGGAGACTAAGATAAAGTAACTCGAATATAAGTGTTATACTAAGTAGTGACAAGATAAGAAGTCGGTTAAGTTAGAGCAGTTATATTAAGAATTATTTATATTTTGCAGAAGATTGAATGATCAGATTTATGATCTTAAAATTTTTTGGCTACAGTTTGAAGAGTGAGTTGAATGGGTAATAGGCTAACTAGAGGATTACTTACTGACCTATGTAGGCCTGATTTGGCAAATTTTTTTCTATAAAGGAAAATATTGTGAGATAAATTTTACCACTAAAATAAATTTCACCACTGGAGTTCTGAGGACAAAGAGGGAGGATATTGGTTACTTTGGGATTGAACCTTTACCAAATTGTTGAAAGGGAGGAAGGAGTGGGAGAGAAGGGCTGGGTGGGAAGAAGGAAGGGAGTGAGGAAGGACGGGTTGGAAGGAAAGAAATATTTACCATATGATAAATATTTTATATTTTGTGAACTGTTCACATCTGTTCAGCTCTGCCATTGTAGCCTGAGGAGTTTTTGTTATTTATTATTTATTTATATTTAACATGTTGACTTTATTTGCTTATTACTTATGGTATGTCTTTTTTTTTTGTATAAAAGAGCTGGGTTATAGGCCAGAGATGCAGATGTGTGCATGTGTGCATATTCACCATAGACAAAGTGGGGAGCAGAACAGGTGGATCTGCTGAAATACACTGCTGAGGGGAGCAGTGGGTGAGATAGGAGAGGTCTGCTGCGCCATATGTGGGTCATTTCTCTGGTCGGAGATTGAATTCAGGCCTTAGCAGTGATAGTCCTGACATTTAACCCCTAGGCCACCAGGTAGGCCCCCTAATGGGTTTTAAATACTATTGAATAGAACATTTCTTTTGTCTAGGGTGCTTGCCTACTCCATTTGAGGTTGCTCATTCCCTTTTCAGTGTAGTGTCCAGTTTGGACACCAAGATGGGAATTTCTTGGTGTGTACAAGGAAGCTATACATATTGTTTGAAATAGAGAAAATAAGACAACCAATATTTTAAGCCAGGAAGAAAGATTCTCTTTGCTCTAAAACCTTAGTTCTGCAGATTCACTGTAAATGAATATCCAATAAATAGTTTTAAAAATGATCATAGATCGAGGCATTCAGGAGGGAAGGGAAAAAGGAATGGAGGGGGGAAAGTTGACAATGGGGATAGGAAAGCACAGTAGAATATGGAGGAGCACTGTGGGTACTTTGGTGCTGAAAAAACACCTGAGGAGAGAAATCCTATAATGTGAAAAAAGAAGCAAGGGTGTTTTCAAAAATAAATAAAAATAAAAAATTGATCTATTTGATGAGATTTTAAAGATTTAAATAAACAGCACCAGGCAGCTGTATTCATGGGATTGGGGCTTTGATTGCTGTCAGAAGGGGAGTATCTTGCCCCACTTTGTTGTGAGGAATAGCTTGAATACCCAACGGCAGTGTGACAATTCTGAAGTCAAGAGTGAAGTGGCAATAGTGTCTGAATAGCTGAAATGGGTCTGTAGGGCTCTGTAAAGGCAGCAGCTGCCTCAGCTCTGAAAGGATTGTTTTGTAGGCTTCTGGGGTCTGAAGTGTAGTGCTAGAATTGATTTGAAAGGCAAATTTTTATCTAGGGGAGTCTGTTTTCCTTTATCTAGTTTTCTTGGTTTAGTGAGTTTAAAACAAAATACTTTGGTACATTTCTTACCCTCGTGTGCTTGAGAAAGCACAAGAGGAAGGAAGGAAGCTGTGCAGAGACATCTCTTTCCTTCCAACTCGTCCTTCCTCACTCCCTTCCTTCTTCCCACCCAGCCCTTCTCTCCCACTCCTTCCTCTCTTTCAGCAATTTGGTAAATGTTCAGTCCCAAAGTAACCAATATCCTCCCTCTTTGTCCTCAGAACTCCAGTGGTGTAATTTATTTTAGTGGTGAAATTTATGTTATAATTTCTGGGATAACCTGAGTACAGTTCATTACACTAACAATTTTACTTCTGAATATTTTGAGAGGAATACTGCAGTTTACTTAGCATCAAATAATCTAACATTGACATTTTTACTTATGCTTATTAGATGCATGACTCTGTAGCACCATTACAGGAACCCAATCCTACACTTCTAGGCAAAGTTAATGATTTTTACACAGTACTCAATACAATTGACAAATAAATGAATGATTTAGCTTTAGTGGTTTGGGGATTGCAGTGTAATCCATAAAAGGATATCTCCACTGCTGTTTATTAAATGAGTAAATGTTTCTTATTTTTTTTTTTCTTAGCTCTTTGTAAATATTGGTTCATTACCTTCCAGATCTGGTCTTTATTTAGAAACCTGATGTGGTGGTTATTTGCATTCTGACAAAATGTATTTGTCATAGTTTTTTTGAGGATTTTTTTTTTCTTTTTTGTTTAAGGATTGACTGGTTATGTTGCTATCCTTTATGTCTCTCTGTTTTTTATGGGAGGTTTTCCAACCCGTGTCATTCTTCAATTTTGAAGTCTTTTCTTCTACCTTAAGTAGAAGAAACTGTAGTCTAGTTCTCTTAGGGAGTGCTGTTAAATTTTCATATTTTCTCGGATATTGTATTTTCTCAGATTGATTCCCTTAACTTGGTTCCTTTGGGATTGAACTTTTACCAAATTGCTGTGCTGTGCTGACTCAGTACTGCTGAGTTTTGCTTCTTTGTTGTCCAAGGAAGTTTTTAATTGATCTGTTGCCATCCTGAGTGCTTTTTGATTAATTTCTTATCTGTACTTACTCTTTGTCTTGTGGTTTGACTGGTTCCTTCACGTTTTTTGAGATCATTTTTTTGTTACGTTTTTATTTTATCTTTAAATAACTTCATCGAGATATCATTGACACAGAATAAACAATATATTTAAAGGGTACAGTTTGTTTTATTATGACATATATATGTGTATATATATATTTTCACATGCAAGTATGTCCACAATCAAGAGTGTGAATTTATTTGTCACTCCTCAGAGTTCCTTATTACTCTTTATAATACAGCCCTTCCACCTCTGTTCAACTCTTTCCTGAAACAAACTACTTTCTTTTGCTATAGATCAGTTTGCATTTTGAAGGGTTTGTATGGCTGGAAATTTGGATTATTTGTAGTTTTTGGCTAACGGTAAGGCTGCTATATATAGTTCCTTGTATGGATGTTTATTTCCTTTCTGTTAGCTAAATCCTTAGGAGTGGAACTATATGGGAATTGTATGTCTAACTTCTTAAGAAACTACCAAACAAAATGTACTCTTTCCAAGATAGTTACACCATTTTACATTTGTGCCTGAAGTGTGAGAGTTACAATTCTACATCACCACTAACATTTGGTATAGTCAGTCATTTTAATTTTAGCTACTTACAGGTATATGTTAGTACCTCATTGTGATTTTAATTTGTATTTTCTTCATTAATAATGATGCCACCAATGGTTTCATGTGCTTACTTGCCATCCATGTGTCTTTTTTTGTTAAAGTGTCTATGCAAATCTTTTATTCATTAAAAAAATAAGCTTGAACATTCTCTTTATGTTCTAGATAGTAGTCCTTTATCATTATGTGTATTCTGTAAGTGTTTTTCTCTGTCTCTGGATTATCTTCATTCTCCCTCTCCAGTGTCTTGACGACCAGAGTTTTTAATTTTGTCTGTCGTATTATACTTTTGTGCTTTATACCTTTTGTGTGTATGTGTGTGTTTTAAGACTTATTTATTTATGCATACAGAATTGGGGTACAGGCCAGAGGTGCAGGGGCAGGGTGCAGGGGCAGTGAGAGGATTCACCAGAGTCTGAGAGGGGAGCTGAGCAGGTAGATCAACAAAGTACATTACTGAGGGGAGCAAGGGGCAGGTTAGGAGAGGTCTGCTGTGCCATGTGATCACCTCCTGGGGTGGGGATTGAACTAATGTTGAAGTGGCTTTAACTTCTTAGTGCTGTGCTTTAACCCTTTGCACCACCAGGAAGGGCCCACCTTTTATGTTTTATTGAGACTGCTTTGCCTAACCCTTGTTTGAAAATAATAGTTTCTGTTTTTTTTTTTTTAAAGAAATTTCATAGTTTTCTTTTCACTTTTGAGGGTCAATGATCCATTTAAAACTAATTCTCATATGTTGTGTGAAATGTATATCCATTTGTCATTTTCTCTATTTATGACCACTCATTTGTCCCAGTAACATTTATTGAATAGACTGTCTTTTCCCCATTGCATTACCTTAATTCAGTTGCCCATAGATGTGTATATTCATGTCTGGATGCTTCTCTTCTGTTCCTTTGGTCTGTTTGCCTTTGTTTACACCAATTCCACAATGTCATGAATTCTCTTATGGTAAGTCTTGAACATCAGATAGTTTCTTTTTAAAATTTGTCTGCCTTAAGGTTTTTTTTTTGCATCTCCATATGAATTTAAGCATCAGATTGTCAGTTTTTACACAGAAAAAGTTTGCTGGG